AATGGTAAATGACTGCTGGGGACCCAAATATCTTTGTGCAACACACCTACTGCTTACTGCAGTTTTATACTTTCCTGCAAAGATGCTGAGAAAAAAGAATCCCTCATAACCTGCAATTCTTGTATTCACCAAAGTTTTGAGTAACCCCACAGAATGCCAGCTTTTTTCTGTACCTGAGGTAGAGCTTGTCCTGTGAAACATTTAATCAACCGTTTCTCTTCCTCCAAGGTCAGCACACGACCTCTGCAGCCCTTTTCCATCTCCCAGATCAGCATGTTCTTCACATGTAGCACTGTTATCCTTATCACTATGGGAAGAACAGAGCAGAAGCTCCCTGGCAGCTTTTGCTTATATTGGGAGTATGCAGGCAGGAAGTGTTGGCTTGCCCACGCAGTACTTCTGACTTGCACTGCTCCTCGTGCCTTATTCTGAGGAGTTTCTTCTTCCTCACAGCCCACTGAATCCATGCCCCAGTGACTTGTATCACTGCTGCTGGTTCCAGGTCTGGTTAAGCACTACAATACAAAGCAGCATTTACAGCAGCCTGCTGGAATGCCCAAGGCAATGCCTACTTTTATATTTTCCAATGGAAAGCAGTGATGGCTTCATTAGTACATCCCCAGCTTCAGTTTTGAAGCAGTCACCTCATGCACTCCCTGTAAGATTTAGTGCAGATCTGCACAAAAAGTGAAGTCTCCTAAGATTTTTATGTGTGCTTTTCCTTCTGTTCTTGTAGCTAGCTGTTAAAATACATGTAAGGACACACCATTTACCCTGGTGTCTCTCGTACTGCTCCCAGACCTCTAAAAGATTCAGCACTGCCATTTTAGTACCAATGCTATGAAGCACCAACACTATGAAGCATTTTGGACTGCTGAACCCTTGGCTGGTATGTGGTCCCAGCCTATCAGGAGGAGGGGGTGAAATGAAATTGTTTTGAGCATCAAAGCTAGGCAGGAAATTTCTGACTTAGTTCATTATGCCCTCCAGCTCCTGTATTTCTTTTTATTATCCTTCTTTAGTCTTCAAGTCCTACATGTTCAATGTCTAGGGTCATTCGAAGAATTGTCAAGCATTATTCCCTGTGCCATCACTCACTCTCAGACAATAAGAAACTTCATTTTGTTTCACAGTCAATAACGTTTTAATGTCACTTCTTTTTTTGTTTTCCTGCATGCTCTGCGATCCCTTCCAATATTAAAAAACACCAGAATGTCCCTATTATTGCTGTAATTCACCTCATAACATCCCAGATGCTTAAATACTCTCCCAGGAGAAAAGCGTGTGGAGTCCCAAATCTCACCTTCACATTATCCTTGCCAAAAGGAAACAGCATTTATTACCCAAGCTTTCATTAAAGGGATTCCCTCTCTTTCATGAGATCTCTTAAAATACATCTGATGCATGGAGAGCCTGGTTTCTTGCCTTCCCTCAAATTTATTTTTCCTAAAGAAAAACAAAGCTTTTTGTTCTCTTTTATTAAAACACAGGGAGGAAGGACAGACATACAAGTGCCTCCCTCCATCTCCTAAAAGAAACACCAGTGTTTTGGCCCATCTTTCCATACTCCTTGAACTTGCTTATTTGGCTTCCTGCCCTTCCTTTTCTCCAAGTGACTCCAGATTTTCCCTTACTTTGGTAAGGATGACACTTAGTAGCTCATCACCCTTATTTTTCTCTATAACCTTTATTTGCATCTTTGTTCTTCTGGGCAGGGCTGGAGCATCTCCTTTTCAACCTCTAAACTGGAAACCTCAGGCAGCCATTTATTAATTGCTTAACCCTGAATTGATTACCTTCCAGAGACAGAAACTTAACAACAAACGGTTAAATATTGGCAGGCTGGAAGAGCTGATGACAAAGTGCCCTGCTGCACATTCCTTCCTACCTCCCAGGGCACACCATTCCTCCAGCACTCCAGCTGTATCCTCAGGCACAGGTCTGCACCTGCTCCCCACCTCTTTTCTACAGCTATGCAGAAATAACACTAAAAAAAATTACTAAAATGTAATATCTAGAAAAGAATGCAGCCAGGGCAATCTCTTCCTTCTGGCATGCTAAAGAAACATTTGTGCCCCTCAGCCACGACCATTAGCAGGAGAGAACATTCCATGTGCAAGGCAAAGCTGCCATCTTGTACTCCTTCAGCAGAAAGGGCTTTCAGGTAAACAGCAAATTGACATACCCCCAAAGTCAAAGGGTACTGGCTAAAATCACACATTTCTCCAAGATAGTTTTCCCACCCCACCATAAAGGATCACAGGAATATGAATTATAGCCATATAGCAGCAGTTAGTTTCCATCTTCTCCCCACAAATTCATCTGGATTCTTCCCTGTTCACTAAGCAGCAGCAAGATACTGCCTCTCAAAACTTCTGTGATTCAGTCAGACAGCACCCCTGAAAGACAGACAAAGATGCAGGGAGATTCTTCAGCTACCTGCTCCCTTTTACTGCTAATTAAGATGTTAGAACTCTTTATCTGCATACACTATAATTTATTAGTTTGACATGCTACACAGACTATCAGCAGTTGTCACCAAACTACCAAGGCTCTCATTTCAAATGGGAGGATAGGAGCTTTTCTGGCATTTGGAAAGGAAAACAAAAAAAAAACCACACACACACAAAAAAAACCAAATAAAAAAAAAAAAAACACAACCACAAGAAAACCCCAAAACAAAACAAAACAGAGGGATGCAGAAGCATTTATGTTACTGTTTCTTCCAGGCTGGGTGGGAGAAAGGTACAATCATTCCTTCTAAGCACAGTACTACTATCAGTGAGTAAGAAGGACAATCATGCAGTTCTCCTCCCTGAGGAGGAACAAGCCCATGCACCAGGGGGAACTGACCAGCTGGAAAGCACAGGAAAACACTTTTTATACTAAACAAACAAACAAACAAACCCAACACACAATAGTGAGCGGTAACTGCACACTGGCACAGGCTGCTTCAAGCGACTGTGGAGTCTCCACCCTGGAGGTAATTTAAAGTTATCTGGACATGATCTTGAGCAACCTGCAAGGGGCTGGGACCAGATGATCTCCGATGGTCCCTTCCAACCTCAATACTCTGTGAAGGACTCTCCAAAACTGCATTTTCACCACTGCTGTAGACTCAGTTACCTTAGCTGAGCACCAAGCACCTACGCAGAGCAACCTCACTGCAGCAGCGACAGCGAAAAGGTGGTAAAAACACCCTCATCCCAGGAGATTCTGTTTAAAAATGTGGTTTCACAATGCAGTTAAGCTGATCTAGGTACCAGCTGCCACGGCAAAAAAGCAGTCTTGCTTTCTCACTCACTTTATTCCTAGCAAAACACACACACTCCTCTCCCCATGCTTGACCTCTGCATGAGCTGAAAAAAGAATGACTCAAGGAAAGAGTTTTCACCAAGAGAGCAGGAACACCTTTTTCTTTGGGGGATAGGGGCAAACAACCTTTTTTATCAGCAGCTGTGACACTGCACCAGCTCAGCCAGACTGTGAGCCAGCAGCTCCAGCCAGCAGATGGGTGCAGAGAGGGCAGGGATGGAGAGCAGGGCAGAGTGGGAGCCAGTGCCAGGGTCTCTCCCTGCTGGAGCCCCTGATGGCAGGTCTCTAGCACGCCTTATGCAAAGGCAGCAAGTGAAGGAGTGCTGCAGGTGCTCGCTGCAGCTTACTCCCCATCACACAGAGTAAAAGAAAAGGGGTCCAAACCACCACTTTTAGCAAACAACCCCAAGAGCAGCAGACTTAATGAAGCTCAGCTTCCCATGCCTGCAGGAGGGAGGCTGTCTCTGAGATGAATGACTTGACTGCAAGCTCCAGCTGGAGCTTCTCCTACAGCTGGCACAGCCATTTGGAGGCACTGCTGAGGCCCCTGAAGAAAAGGGTCTCTCCTTCAGTGCCCTGCCACTGCCCTGACTCAGCCACCTACTCTTCACAAGGCTTGCAGGAACTCGTTCATTTCATTTCCGAGCTCTCTACTCCTGTCAAATTTGCGTAAAATTGGCCAAAGGGCTTCCAGGTTATCTGGAAAAGGGTGGCAGAGGCAGCATGATCAGATAAGCCCTCCTTCTCTGAGAAGCCAGCCTGAGGAAACACAATGAGAGGCAGAGGCTGGGAATCAGAAACCACAGAGAGAAGAAGCACTAGAAAGAAAAGGTAGAACAAGGCTAAGAAGGGCTTTAAAAGAGAAGACACGCATCTTGCATTTGGCACAGCAGAGGAGGAGGAGGAACTAATTTGAGCATTCAGGGGAACCAGCAGACAAGAACAACAAAAAAAAAGAAAAAAAAAAAAAAGAAACCAAAACCTGAACGAATTTCAGAGGCAGAGATGGATAGAAAATGCTGCAGCTTACATTCCTTAAGCAGAAAGATCCAGGTGTGGTGTGGACATGCATGTAAGTAAGCACCAGAGACAGAGGTTAGAATTTTGAATTGAACAGATACACGAGCCTGTAACACCAGCAGAGAGAGGCCACTCCAATTTTTTAGAAGTGGACAAAATTACAAAGAGGCAGGGACTGTAGGAAGATGTGGACAGGGTCATAGAATAGACCCCTTGTAGGCACACAAAAACAAACCTGATGCTGGTATACAGAGTAAACTCATGAGGTCATAAGAAAAGATCTGTCAGAGGCAGGAAAAGGCAAAGACAATAGAACTTAGAGGAAATCTCTCCAGGAAGAGATCAAAACTGGTTAGTGCAAGGTCAATTACAATGTCAAGAAAGGTAATACTTGATCACAACCAAGATGTAGAGCAGTGGGGGCTATTAAGAAAGCCCTTGCGAAGTAAATCACATAGACAGACTAAAGTGGCAGAGAGCTGGGAGGCAAAAGCTCCAGACAGAGCATCCCATGGGGCTTGCAGAGGGCACAGCAGCTGCTGGAGGAGGAGGGGATAAAGCAGCTTTGCATTGAAGGAGAGAAGCTATGAGCAGGAAAATAAGTGACAGAGACAAGGTAAAATTAGTTGAGACCCTTAAGACAGGCAGAAAGGTTAGAAATCCTATTTTTGTGAAAAGCATGGAGAAGGAAAGCAGGACAGAGAAAACCAACAGGTGAAGACAGACCATAATTTGTATGCCAGTTCTCTTCATAAAGTTGTTACAGCTTGAGGAGCAAATCTGAAGGTGGAGAAGGGCCTATCCAAGCTTGGGGGGCAATACCACCATCAGCATTCAGTAAAGCAAAAATTAAAACAGTTGACAAGAGACAAGGCAGAGAGGGAAGAGGCTAGGCTCTGAGATGGGGAGGTCAGTGTGGTCAGAGGACTCATGCCAGCCTCATGCCACTACACTACAGCAGGAGCAGAAGCAGCAGATGGTGGGGCTGGAGATGGGAGAGGGCAGAAAAAGTGTCCTGGGGATGAGGAGAGATGCCACTGCATGGGTGGTGTAAACAGCTATGGGGGAGAAATGCCAAAAAAAAGAGGAGTGGGGGGAAATCCAAATCCAGGGTACACAAAAAAAGCAGCAGCAGGAGTGGCAGAGGACAAGAAAAACACAAAGACCCTGAAGGGGAGGAGCAGTGCTGACTGAAAATCAAGACTGGCTGGCAAGCCAGGTACCTCCTTATGGCATGGGTGACCCAGGCACAGGGAGGAATGACTTTGGACTAACCAACAGCATCTGCTGATCAAGAGGGGCCCCAGCCTTCAGCACCAAGACAAGAACTACACACGAGAGATACAACACAGAAAGGGACATGACCTTAATGACTGCAAGTCTCATTTGATGTATGGAGTCTGGGAAAAGCTGCAAGTTGGATTTTTTCAGGATTACAGAATCAGCTCAGCCACACCACCCCTCGGGCACCAGTCCAAACGCCCTTCTGCCTCCCAGAGCAGCCCGTCTCGGCATCCACGAGATGAGAGGGGCAGCACAGCCTGAGAGATGCTCCAAAGGCGATACACCCTGACTTCAGCAAGAGCAGACTTGCCATTTTGTAGGGCTGCAGGTTTATCTGAAGGTCTGAAAGAAAGCAGAGTCCCAGCTTCTTGACACAGACGATGTGTTTGAGAGTGACTAACTAAATAGCATTTGTCACTAAACAAAAAAACCTTTCCTAATCAACTGAGAAAAGGAAGGGTGGGGGATGGTAAACCGTTCCTAAATACACCACTCTGAGCATCCCCCTGCCTACACTCCCCAGTGAGCAGACGTATGCAGAAGTTTTCATCTTCAGCTACTTACTTAGCAAAGCTAGTCCCCTCTGATCAGGGAGTTAAGGAAAGGCTTACACAGCTACCAGGGAGGGAGGGTTTTATTTATCTGATTTCAACATGCCCAAGTTATCAGACTCTAGAGGAATTCAATTAATGAGAATAAAACTCTTGTTTGATGCAAGTCTGGAAGGGTGCAGTGGGTTGTTTTTTTCCTGCAAATAGCTGCACCCCAGAGATTTTACACTGATTATAAGCCTTAACAGCGAAGGACTGATGCAAGCTGAACAAATTCAGCAGCTGCACCAAAACACCACACACGCTCCAGGTCTGTCGGGGACCCACACAGCTGGAGGAGACCAGCAAAAAGACAGGGAGAAGGGAGGGCTGCAGGGCCAGGAAGCTGGGACTGCAATCCCAAAGGAGCTGCTGAGGCCATGCCCCTCCTTCACCTCACAGCAGCAACAGACTGGTGGTGAGGGTTGGCATGGGTTGCACTCACTAGCACAGCTGTGAAATGTCACCTCCCAAGATGAAGGCAAAATTAAATGTCCCACACAAGCTCATGAAGCAAGGCTTGGGCACCACAGCCACTTGGCTGCTCCTGGCCAATGTCCCAGAGAACACAGGAGCCAGCCCCATGCCCAAGCCAGGCTGTCCCTGCCTGGGAAGGTGCCCCTATGCTCCCTGCCAGGTTCTGGGGCACCTGGCACTTGGTCAGGGCTTCTTCTTGCCACCACAGGGCTTCTTCCTGTCACCAAGCATCCCCCTGGAGAGGAGGGAGCATGGCCTGTGGGGGCAGCAGGGACAAGGGGACCATGGCACACACTGCTTTGGATTCCCATCTCAGGACAGGCCACTCCTGGCAAAGGCACCAAGCTGTCACCACCTGGGACAGAGCTCCCACCCCTCCTGGCAGTGTCCATCCCCACTGGCTCTGCCCTCTCACCCATGGCCACCCAGTGAAGGGGAACAAATGGGGCACAATCTGTCTCCCAAGGGGATCCAGAAATCCCAAGGGCTGGCCCCAACATTTTAAACGTGGCAGTGGTCACACCTGGGCTCGGGCTGGCCTCTGGCACTGCGAAAGAGGAGGAAAAGAAAGAATTCTGACAGCAATATAGGCTTTGGAGAATTTTACTCAGATAATCCTCTCCTAAGGTTGGCCAGCTGGCTTTAAAGGGAACAGACGGAGCAACATCACAAATCACTGAACCGATGGGAACCAAACACAGGGCGCAAAACTCTTCTCATACAAACGTTTCTTTTTAAATCCTGCCATGAAGATAAGCACAGCTCCCAACACCACTCCCAGGCAGTGCTAGTCCTAGGAGATTTACCCAATGTTTATTCAATGCACATTTCTCCAAAACCCACATGGTACATCCAGCCAGGAAACCGAACAAACATCCATAATTTCCTTTGACACCTCCTAGTTACACTGCTCTGACAAAAGCAACCAGAGCCATCCAGTACCACTACATGCCAAAAAAAAAGAAAAAAAACAACAAACCTCTTCAACACAGTGAGCCAGCAAGAGGGAGGAATCACAGGCTGAACCAGCCAGATTCCATCAGCTGGTTAGGACAGCACCAATAATACCTCCTGGCTGTATATTTGGGAAAGACACGTAGGTGTTTCTACAGTCTGCTTACACAGAAACCTCAGGAACTCTCCCCTCTCTTCCCTAAGGGAGATGCAAGACATTTGAGGTTTAACAGCTGCAACAAACAGCATCCTCTTACTAGAGAAAATATTCAGGAACAAGATAACAAGAGACACGGTTACTGAAACAGGATGAAAACATGGAAAAAGCCTCTGGGGTCTAAGTGCTGCCCTAATGACTGCAGACTGCTACTCAGAAAAATCTGAATTCAAGTATACAGCTCTCATCACCACTTGCAGATCAAATAGGAATGGCAAGATGCAAATCTTGCTGCCTGCAAAAGAGGTAATCTAAGACACCATTTGTGAGCAACCCACTAGCAGTGCCACAGCCCCTGCAAACACAAAGAAATAAAAACCTGCAAATGTCCTTGATCTTGCATTCATTGCCCAGTAGATAACTGTGCTGAACCCAAACATCATCACTTTAATGTCTGGAGCAGTTGAGGGCACAGTTATTATTGCACATGAAATAGCAAGGGTATATATTCACTATTCAAATTCAATTGCAGAATTGGCAGATGGGTTAAAAAGATGACTTAGAAGAAAAATAATGCCAACTATTCTCTTTAAAATAGTTTTAGGACCAGTATCTTATTTATTTCACAGCCAAGAGGTAAAGCAATTCTACACAGCCAACTCAAAATTAGTAGATATATTTTCCCTTTACGCTAGAAAAGAATGCAGATGCTAAACCTATTATATAGACAGTAAGTGTCATCAGAGCAAAGAAGGCAAAAATAGCTAAGTTATCTGTAAGATGACTAAGCAAATGGATTTTCAAAAATATGCCTTCAAATATGACACCCTTTTCTTAGAGCTGCATACATCCGTTTAGCTTTGTTAATTTCTCAATTCTTTCTTTTGATAATTTATTTTTAGCCTCCCACTAGCATACTTCCCCAGAAGCCTCACTTCACCCTACCCACACTCAAGATTCGCATCCACATACGGAGGACGATTTAGAAAATGATGCCGATCACCCCAGTAACTATGGAGAATCTCTACTGCAGCACTTTTAAGATCACGTACATGCATTTCGTTTACATCTGTCCATCCACTGGAAAACTCTCCCTGCTGTCTCCCACCCTCATTTCTACCCCCTCTCCATCATCCCCACCTATACTGTAGGGGGTCTTCACAGCTCCACCAGTACCTTCCAGAACTGATCAACCTTCCTTTCTCATGTGACCCTTGATCCTGTCATTTTTGCAGGTAAGAAACAGCCCACCTCTTTCCCAGGCCACCACCAGTACCAGGAGGAGAAGGCTACTTGGTGCCACCTCAGGAACAGCAGTGGTTAGAGGAATGGGAGCAGCAGATCCAGGTGCATCTCCTGCAGCTGGGGTGGGAGCCACTTTCCCCAGCACATCTCCCCCACATGTGCTGCCAGCAGCCAGGTTTAGAGGCTGCTGGTACCAGTTAATGGTCATGCTCCTCTGCACATCTCCCTCTTCCACCAACACCCGGATATCTCTGTAAGGAAAATTACCCTTTCCTCAGATTACATCTCTTCAGGGACTTAGCTGGCACCCACACAACTGCAGCCTCTGGTAATCTACATTTCTGAGGTAACAGCAGGAGTTGGTGCCTGGCCAAGCCTCCTCCTGAGTAATTTTTCTGCCACGCCAAAGCCCTGCATATGGCTTCTCTCTGACACTTCCTCAAGGAGGGATGGGTACCCTAAAGAGGGTGATGAAACATTGAAATGGGCTGCCCAGGGAGGTGATGGAGTCACCACCCTTGAAGGTGCCACTGGACACAGCACTCAGTTCCATGGTCTGACATGGTCGTGTTCAGTCATAGGTTGGACTCAATGACCTCAGAGGGCTTTTCCAGCCTAATTGATTCTGTGATTCTGAGGCAGCTCCTGCTGCCTGCCCTGTCTGCTGCCAGGAACCCAGCCCTCAACCTCCAGGAGCCAAGCACAAAGCTCTGGGATCCCCTTCCCAGCAAGTGGGCTTCCAAGGCTCAAATCCATTACACTGAGATCATTAGGATGCTTTCAGTAATGTATCCCAGTGGATCTGCTACAGCAGCTATTAGGCATTTGACACGCAGCAAAATCTTTCCTCACATTCACCTCCCGCCTCCCTACACCCTCCCCCAAAACAAGCCAGCCCAAAAAACCAAGGAGATGCAAATAAGAGCCAGAAGAAGGGTGACAATAGCTTAACAGGGGCAGGCTTGTGAGAAGAGGTGACAAACCTCTTTGAGATGAGCCCCTTGCTTCCCCTACACTACCCCATGCTTCTCAGGGCAGTCTCAGACTCTCACTCACTACCCCACTGCTCCAGGAGGAAAAAAAACCTCCTTCCCACCACACATTTGCAGCCACATTCTTCCCTGCAAAGACTGAAAGACAAAAAAAGTTAGCCCAAACACCAGAGGCACAAATCAGAACAACCACTGAGTAAGTGCTGCCCTTCCTTCACTTGGCAGCCACAGGGTAGCATCTGCAGAGGGACCCTGCAGGCACAACTGGACAATTCCAGAGGAGTGGATGAGATGTAAGAGCAACAGAAATTATGAAATAAACCCAAAAACTAGACATCTCATGCAAGGCTTATTCATATAAAAGATGCAAGATGAGGTCCCTCTATGCTCTAATGATGATGGCAGTATCTGAAAGATCACCTCTGAACACACCTCTCCTCACATGTAAGCAAGGGGAAGAGGTGGGATAAAAAGCAACGTGAGATGAGAAAAGCATGTTTTGATATCTAAATATGAAGATGAGCAGGTAGATTGCCACGCTCCTTGCAGCCCTTTGGACTCTGCACAACTTTTGCCCCTCTGCAGAACAGGTATCTGAGGCTGGACTCTGAGTCCTAGTCACAGGAAAAGCACCTGAAGCTGATCTTGTTCAAGTCCAGCTCATTCACAGCAGAAAGGAGTAAGTGCTTGGCAAACTTCAAGCATTTGGCAGCTACACATTCCAGATTAGATTTAACTGCCAGCCAGCTCATGGCATGGGACTGATTAGACGTAACAGCTCCTGAGGTGGCAGTGACCCACAGATTAACTGCGCTGCTGTGACACTGATGCCTGGCATGAAGCACAGCAGCTCCACGTTACAGCCACACGGGCTGTGCCCCACCAGCCTCACGGGCCGGCGAGGAGAGCTCTCCTTCAGGTAGGATGGGCAAGAGAGCTCCTGCAGGTAGGTAACACCACAGAGCTCAAAGTAAAAATCAATTTTCTTCTTCTTCTTCTAACACCAGGAGTGAAATCAATCAGGCCGTAACAATCTCTTCCACGCCACATTTTCTTCCATGCATAAGAAGAAAAGCAGCCTGTTTGCTTACAGACAGCAAACAAGACCTCAGCCCTAACGCTGCATATCTCCGTCCCAAAAAATCCCATGACACCTTTTAAGCCACTCTCTCTCTCCTTCAAGCAGCCAAGAACAGAGACAGAGTGACTTGCCTACAATCGTATCACAAGTCAGAAGAAAGCACTGGAATTTGCACGCTGTGACTCCTGCTGTAGGCGCCGGGTAACACTGCAGGCATAAAGGTCAAACCCTTCAGCAGGAGCTCTCAAGATATTGTCTGCAGGCCACGAGCAGGCAGCAGAAAGCTGGGAGGTGGCACAATGCCAGCCCAGCTTCCCTTGGTATCCATGTCCTTCCTTGGAAAGCGCCTCAGCACCTGGCAGGGCAGTTAAGCACTCATCCCCCACAAGGAGCAAACATCCCTCCTCTGTAATGGGATTAGACAGCGGAGCAGGAAAACAGGATCCGGGAATCTCCAGGAGAGGAAAGAAAGCTTGACAGCGTATTTGGGAGGGTGGAAGAAGCTGAGGGCCCAGGACTATGCGTGAGAGGGGAAGGAGCAGAAAGCACTGAGTCAGGGAGATGAGATGATACGGTGAGAGGGGGCAGAGCACTTTGAAAGCACACCGGAGATAAACGCATTCAGATAATTGCTCAGAACAGAATAAATATTAGTAAGTACTATAATTACCTCGAACACTTTACAAAGCTGTAAGAAGAAATATGACTAGAAAAGAGGCTAGCACACAAATGCTAGTTGGGAAGCTCCTATTTCAAGCTATCAAGAAGGAACCAACAAGGCCTGACACCCAGGTTGGTAATTTCAGCTTGGCAGCCAGCCAGAGCCCTTTGGCTGGATCCTTAGGTACTGGGTAACTCGAGTTAATAAGTGCCAGATTCCAGCAGTATGATTTTCCAGAGTACTGAGCTTCTGGATGACTTCTGGCAACAAACAACTGCCTTCTCATAGTCATACTCAAGGTCCAGCCTCCCTTTCGGAGGGATTTAAAGGAATCTGGGCAGATTCCTATGTTCATGGTACTGATGCTGAATGAAGACAAAATGATTAATCCAAGATGTAAAAAGCCTAACTTATCTAAGCAGCCAAATCTTAATAACCTTGCTGTCATGAGAGATCAGAGCCCTTCTTTCCCAAAGAAACAACCAAAAGTTCTGCTATTTTGGGGCTCAGTATCTCACCTTCAAGCTTCCATTTCCCTAAAAGCTTCAGAAACCTCCCATTTCAGAGCAGCCTGGGTCATTGCTGAGCCACTCTCAAAGCACTACAGAGTCTGCTGAAAAATAGATCTACCTCACCCCCTGCTCCCATCTCCCTTTGACAAGCTTATCAACTTCCACACAAAGCCCAAAAGCCATAAAAGTGACAGCAGGCCTCAGGCAGATACATCAGGAACACAATGTAGAAGGAACAACCAAAAAAAACCACCCCAAAAAAACCCCAGATGCACCAACATTCCCTGTTATTCCCCCTGTAATCACAATGACTCTAAAAGAGAACATATTTGCTGGGAAGCAAAACTATCAGCTTCTGTGAGCAGAGTAGGGAACACCAGGCAAATGACAGCAATTCCAGACTCATGCCACTAGTTAAAAACCCCCCAAAACTTAGCAGTGCCCCAACAGTCATCAAAAATCACCTCCAAACACATCAGAGCCTGATGAGCTGTTTTGCAAGGGGAAGAAAAATAATATCCAGAACAGTAAAGCAAAAAATGGCATTAGTGAAATGCCTGACAGTTTTAATGGCTGTGCAGCTGCCCCAGATGCTGCTCTGGATCCCAACTGGGACAACTTTGTCACCAGAAACTGCACTGGAATCTCCTTATTCCTGCATTTCAGCAGCAACCTCATCCCCTCCTGACCAGCAAAGTCTTAAGTCTGCCAAAATCAGAAGAGACAGGAGAAGTGCTAGATGATTTTTCAAGTCCCAGATGGAATCAATATCTTGTTTGGAAAGAAGTCAGCTAAGAGGAGTGGTAAGTACACTGCTCAGGAACAGGACAAATACAGATAGATCCTCGCTATCTGAGTTTCTTTTCTTTTGTACTTGGGAGTCTTTGACACCTGAAATGCTACAGGCATGCTATAAGGCCTGGCATTTGGCAAGATCCATCCTTCAGAGCCTGCTCTCCTCTATCTTTCTTACCAGCTGGGTTCTTCACCTTCCTTCTCCCACTAATGCTTTCCCTTAGCTCATCTTTTTTTTTTTTTTTTTTTTTTTTCTCCTTTTCTTTTTTTTTCTTTTTTTTTTTTTTTTACAGCCTGGAAAAGAGAAGGCTCCAGGGAAACATCATTGCAGCCCTTCAGTACTCAAAGGGGGCTTATAAAAAAGATGGAGAACAACTTTATAGATGGCCAGATTGTGATAGGACAAGGGGGAACAGTTTTAAATGAAAAGAGGGGACGTTTAGATTAGATGTTAGGAGGAAATCCTTTACTCAGAGGGTGCTGAAGCACTGGAACAAGCTGCCTAGAGGATTTGTGGATGCTCCATCCCTGGAAGTGCACAAGATCAGGCTGGATGGGCCCTGAGCAACCTGGTGTAGTGGGTGGCCATGGCATGGAGGGGGTGTGGAACCAGATGATCTTTTAGGTCCCTTCCAGCCCAAATAATTCCATCAGTCTGTGATCCTTTCCCCACTCCCCCACTTTGCAGTGCACCACCTTTTCCATCCCTATGGATCATTGCCCAGTAAGAACAACAAATGGACCTAGAAACACCAAGGAACTACCAGCACAGGAATAAAACCAGGAAAGAGGAACCATAGGAGGGTTCAGGCAGCTGTTTCAGACAGAAACTACAGACTAAATGTTAAGCAGGACAGAGCAGGCAGCCTCTGTCAAGGGCTGGTAAGATTTAAGAACTTGCCATGCCCTCCAGCCACCTGCCTCTGCAGTACCCCCTTCCCCTGGGATCCCATGAACATCTGCAGGACCACATGAAAAACAGATTTACTTTCATGGCACACACACACACACACAGTCCCTCTACATATTTACTGATTGATCTCAAGTTACCTTAAAGATCAATCAAGTCCCTCCAACCGGTCCTCATGTCACCATCCTGTCCCGCACCCTCCCCTGCCTGCCACACCAGGCAGGAACCAGGCTGGAACACCTCCTTTCAGGAGCATCCCTGCTTTTTGGTAGTTAAGTTTAAGTACTGTGCAGCAATGGTAGGAGTCCTGAGTGTCAACGCCTTTCCCTTTCCAAGTAAGGCATCTCACTTCACTGAGATGATCTGGTTTTGTGCTCGTGTCCAATTACTTACTGAAATGTGACTTTAGCAACAGTCAGAAAGGCAAGACTTCCTCTTGTCTCTTTGCCACTTGCTAATTAAACCTAACAAGAAAAAGCTTACTGACTTATATAATTTGAAACATGTTCCTCCCGATGGAGACAGGGTGAGCAACAGGTTAGAGCAGGACATGATGACATAGATGCACAGAGACACTCCAGACCCACCAAAGGCAGCTGCAGACCCAATTTCTTTGCCTTGCAATGTGATCAAACACAGCTTTGTCAGGAAAGGCTCCATTTTAGCCTCTCCATGGCTGATAAGAAACAGATGCTAAACGTCTCCTAATATTCTAACACAGAGAACTATTCCTTAAGAAGATTTTATATGACTAGGAAAGAAATACCAATATAAAAATGGAGACAAAACCCATTTAACAGGTTATCATTAAGAAGTATTTAGGAACTTCAAAGCCAGAGGCAAATCACAGTACAGTAGTTTTCCAGACACTAGTTGGAGGGCCTAAACACCCTTGATACCAGTAGACAAGTCAAATCATGAGCTGAGGAACCCTGGCAGCAGTAAGAAAACCCTATTGTGCTAGAAAATTTTCCCATCTTTCAGGTGATTTTACTGGTGCTTTAAGTTTCTGGGCAGGAGGAATCCTGCAGCAATCCTGCAGATTGCTAACTGTTGGACAGTAAAGAGCACTGTTTGAGGTTACAGCACTCTGATTCACCCAAGGTAAACCAATGAAAACACCTCTGGCTTCAAACTAGATTGTATAACCTTTAAATCAATGACAGAACGCATGATCAGGTTTGTACGGATAAGAAAGAAACCAAGAAAGACCAAAAGAAAAAACTTCAAAATATTTTTTTTTCCAAAAAAGGCAATTTTCTGGTAAAGAAAAAACCAACTCAACAAGCCTCCCAACACCGAAGTGATGCTCTCCCTATGACCCTCTCTCTCCCACCCCCTTCCCTGCGGTCTGCAGCACTGTTTATTTTCCCTTTCACTTTATATAATGGGTCTGGTAGAAGTGTTCTAAGTACACATTCGATCTGCAATAAAAACTGCTTTAATAAAGACATCTAACTTGACGGAAGGTCAACTAAAAGACAACAATTCGCATGAACCAAAACCTCCTGTGTAAATAAACAGGATCTGCAGGAGCCTCAGGATGTCAGGCAGTCTGGCCAAGACTGCAGGGAGGGAGTCTGCCCATGAAGAATCACACTTGGGGACACGCAGGAGCGGAGCCTGCCAGCCCAGCCCCAATGGCTGTAGCAGCCTCCCACCTTAGGGACACCCAGAGAGCCACTGCATGAATGAGGCAATGGCCAGAGCCATCTGCAGAGCACGTTCCAGGAGATGTTCCCCAAATAAAGCAGAGGCACAGCCCAGCCCAGCACGCCCGGGATCAGTCCGGGTCTGGCACTGCACACACAGCGATCCCGGGGCAGAGAGGGCAGCGGAATTGGCTCGCGGAACGAAGCTCGCGGCGCGGGACTCGGGGCAGACGCAGATGGAGAAATCACGATCTTGGCCACTGCTGCTGACAATGCATCGAGGAGCAGATGAGGCGCCAGCAACATCCCTGGGCCTCGAGCTGTGGTAAACAAGAACACCCCCAAGCCCCCTGTGTGCAAACACCCACCACGCTGTTTTCTCCACGTGTTCCCCTCCAGCCCAGCAGTCCCCAGGTCGACTTGTGTGCCCGGGCAGGCAGCGGAAGAACAGGAGGGTGCAGGAGCAGAACTCTTGAGCGGCAGCCAAGTGCACACTGCTGCTTCCCAGCCAGCATCCCTTCCCCTCCGGGAGGCAGGCCTGGAAGATCACCCCTCCATTCTCCACGAGTCACCTCAGCATGGGTATTTCACTCCAACATGCCGTTTTACAAGCGAGCTGCAGCTTTCAAGACCTTACGCATGCTCTGCTCCCCTCTAGGAATCACAAATAAATCACCAATTACTATGCATGAATAGAGAGAGGAAGAGGGTAATGAGTCTATGTACATATATACATATGCAATGTTTGAACACAAAGAGCCGTAAATTGCATTCACAGGTGGTATTCTGGAGACTGCAAGAGACTCAAAAGCAGAACTATTCATAAACCAGTCACTGACATGAATGAGTTCAGCGTTCCCAGAAGCCTATTGTGTTTCCTATATATTACACTATAAATATGAGGAGTACCAGACTTTGCATCCCTCCCTGCAAAAAAAAAGGAGGTAAATCTTGCAACTACACATAGGATTAGCACTGGCTGGCACAAGTATTAATGGTCTCATTGCTGCATGAGGATTATTTACAGCACTTGCTCTATTTTCCCATTTTGTACTTGTTGTGATGAAGTGCCACTTGTTTAAAGAACCCTGTAACAAACACTGCAGCAAGAAGGGGGAAAAAACAGCAGAGATCTACAAATGCTACACCCACATGCCAGATGTGGGTTTTCAGACCCTGGTTTCACAGTTACTTCGATTTTGGTGGTAGTTAATGCTTGATATATTATATTAAATCACCCACCATCTCTTTCCATAACCACAATTCCTCCTTCAGTTATTTTAATGAGTTTGCAGAAGGAGAAGGAAAGAATGAGTTGCATTTCTTTTTCTGCATATTTGATCCATAGTATCTTATCCCCATATTCTAGCATTAACATCACTTGTTTGGAAAGCAACAGTCCTTTTCTAGTAAGTCACATTTACGTTACAAAACATGCATTTTTACTCGACTAAATCAAATGATGTCTCAGATTTACAAGGGGCAACCGAAAGCACTTCTGTGTGACTTGTGGCTTTGAGGCACTGTCACACATCCCCAGCTTTATTAAAACTGGCAGCTGGGCAAACGGGGGACAACCAGCTTAAAGAAATCCAGGTGAAAAGACTGAAAAGTAACTCCAGGCACACACGTGGTACACATCCTACCCTTAAAAACAACCTCATGTTCAGCACAGGGAGGCCAGTACGATGTTTTTATGAACTAAATACATCCATGGGATTTGGGGACCACTGAAAAGCAAGCTATCCTCCAAAGCGACAGGTGACAGCTCGCAGCTCGTCCCCCGGGGAGGACCAAGGCAGGTTAGAGCCACTTTCAGGTCAAACGCAGAAAGCTGATTCCTGCAAGCAGGGGGTCAGGGCGGCCTCGGCAGCGGGCAGGACTCCGGGTGAGCACCAGCACGGGGTGTGGAGCGCAGGGCTGGCGGGTCCCAGCGGCGGGGAGCCCTGGGCAGGAGGAGGGATGCCCCGGGCAGGAGGAGGGATGCCCCGGGCAGGAGGAGGGATGCCCCGGGCAGGAGGAGGGATGCCCTCTGCTGCTCCTCCGCCGCAGCAGCTGGGCGTGCTCCGGAGGGAGCGCGCACCGACCCACAGACCCGAGCACTCCATATTAGGAATCCCTAATCCAGAATGGTGCTATTGTTCTTCAACAGAGGAGATGGAGCGTGCGAAGCCAAGGCAGCAAGCGCCGTGCCCTTCGCCTACACCCATCTCGCGGGCTACGACAGCCTCCCTGCACTCACGGAGCAAAGGCACCCTGGATAAACTTAGCTCGGAGATGGCTTTTTTTTTCCGGGGAACCCAAGGAAGCAAGCTAGTGGTTAAGGGAAGTTTGAACCATCTCCAAAACCATTTCAAAGAGTTCGCTCTCTCTCTTTGCTAAAGACAGACAGAGCACACCAAACCCCCCCTCCACCCCAAATTACAGACGTGAAGCATGACTGCAATTCTAGTAGAGATCTTGTTTCCAAATTGTCAGATCAGGTATGTATGTGACAATTCTCAAGACAGTAAAACTGCCAGCCCTGCCGCTTCTTCCCTCAACAGCATTAATGCCAGCAGAAAATCATACCAATGAAAAGGCAAATCAAAACAGCTCCGAAGCTGCTCTGCACATACACAAGCAGAAAGCAGCGTGAGGACGCCCTGCTGTATTTCCCACAAATGTTCCTATCAAGTCATCAGTACTTAAGCCCCGCACATCGGTCTGCAGAAAGAGTAGAGGCATTTTAACTGTCTTGTATTTCTGTTTTTCCCAAATTTGTAGGAAGGAATCTGGCATTCCCGCAGCACCTCTCACCCAGCACTGGGATCCCGAAGGACTTTACAGAAGTGCATACAGTCATCCCTGGGGCAGGCACTTGTGGGACGGGACAAAACCACACATTTAACGGTTCGCGGGGTGCAAAACGCCGGCAGAGAGAAGGGACTACAGGAGGACTTTGAGAGGCAGCACAAAGCAATCACATTGCATTTCACGGCAGCAAGGACTGCCTTCCTTCCACATTTCAACGCGCTCTTCCAGAGCCAAGCAGAGCACTTTGTTTCTGCAGCCTACCTTACCCCAGGCATTTTCTCCGCTTTCATTGTGCAAGCTCAGCACAGACCCGTGTAACTCCCTACCCTTACTGTTCCCCTCCGAGACACCCCCCGACCCCAGCAGCAGCCCCTGGACGGCCGCTCGCCTTCCCAAGTTGCAGCCGGAGCCCGCCCGGAGCCGGAGCTGCCCGTCCCCAGCCCCGGCCGGAGCCCGCGCCGCGCCCCGGGGCACGGCGAGGAATGGTCACCGGGGTGCTGCGGCTGGAGATGAAGCCCTGATTTATTTTGCACATATATATATGTACATACACACATATTTACAGGGCTTTTTTTTCTTTTTTTTCCGCCACTCCCCCCTCCGACCGCAGGCAGTGACAACTCCTGGGGACAGCCGCTCGGCACTGACAAGGGGCGATCCTCCGGCACGCCTTGCGAGGGACTGCGCCCACCGGGGGTCCCGTCCCGCCACACCAGGAGACCACTGTCCTGTCCCGTCCCGTCCCGCCCCTCCCCGCCGGCGACGGGCACTTACCGAGGAGCAGCAGGGAGGCGAGCTGCGGCCGCAGGGTCCGCATGGCTACCGGGGCGCGGGGCGGCGGCCGCCCTTACCTCCCGCCGCGGGGCGCCGCGGGGCGCCGGCTCCCGGGGCAGGCGTCGCGCCGGGCCCGGCGGCACAAAGGGAAGGCGGCGGGGCCGGCACGGGGAGGCGCCAAGGCAGGCGGGGGCATCGCCCCCGCAGCGGGGCGGCCGCCGCGCCTCCCCTCCGCGCCGCCGGCTCCCGCGGGAGAGGCAGGAGAGCGAGAAGAAAACGTCTCCTCCAACGGGCGGAAAAAAAAAAAAAAAAAAAAAAAAAGCGCACGGGGAAGGTGCGGGAGAGAGGAGGCGGAGGGCAGGCACGAGAGACAACAAAAAGACCCCACCCCGCAAAGTTACAGAAATAAGCGGGGCGCCGCGGCCGCCAGCTTGCCCGGCCCGCCGCCCTCACCTGCCCGCCCGCTCAGCGCTGCCGCCGCCGGGCGCCCGGCGCTTCCTCCGCGCCGCCGGACCCCGCCCCCGGCCCGCCCCGGCCCGCCTCTGCCCCGGCCCGGCGAGCGGCGCTGCTGGGACGGCGCTGCGGGGCGCGGTGGCTTCGCGAAGCTTGTGGCGTGGGGTAGGGGTCGTGAAGGAGCTGCAGGGATAAACCGGGTTCCTTTGTTTTAAGGGGAAAAAATAATTAAAAAAGAAAATTAAAAAAAGAAGGTCATCGGGCGCTCATCGGAAAACCGGCGTCTTGGGACATGGTATAAATGCTCCCTTTTGTTTCCATGCAAACCAGAAATAGCGGCCGGGCTTTCCAAGTTGCGATCAACTCGTGGCCGTCCCGCTGCGATGCGCTGTTGGCGAGACCCGAATCCAGGGCTGGCATTAATGCCGGGTTGCCAGATGTGAACCCTCCCCGTGTGCGGGCACTGCTGCACTTGGGATGCTGCCCAGTCAATCAACAGTGTGTCCGTGGCAGAAGTGCATTGAAAGTACATCCACGAAACACTGAAATGCATAAATATGGCAACACTAGGCACTGGGGCTGAGGCTGTTTGTAAATAAAACGAGAATGAGAAAGCCCTTCTCAAGGGTGCAGACTTTCAATTTTCCTTCCAAATGAAACTCCTAGTTGCTTGTTTGCTTACAAAAATAAGAAAGAGGCCAGAAGTGGCAGCAATAGCAGAATGAGGTAACCCTCCTAGTGCTCCCATCCTGCAAGGATCCTCTACAGGAGACCCTTCTGCCTACGTACAGAGTGTCCCCAGTGAAGTGTTGGTGATGCAAATGTAGGAACCCAACCCTTTTATGCCACAGAGGCAGAAAGCAGCACAAACCCAAACTGTCTAATAAAAGATGCCAAGTTCTTAGAAGCTGTACCCAGCAGAAGTCAGGAGCTGTCTGGATTACCATATGGACTTGCTTCCCAACGTGGCTGTCATGGCAGATGCGTTGGTAGCCAGCTCCTAGTGACCCAGCAAATTCTGTTTCTGCAGGCTAATAATGTTAAGCGTGCTGTTTTCAGAGTGGGAGGTTTAATTGGAAGCTTTTCCACGCTCTCTGAGCAGAGGAACCAAAGAACAGAATAAGCAGCGATCTGGGAGAGAAAGGGTTAGTGTTGTACTTGCACTGAAAATGAAGCTCACGCTTTGGCCCTCAAGCTTTAATTGCATCGAGACTGCCTTCAAGTGAGACTTGGAAAAGGAACAGAGGTGTTGATAAGAGTTCATGGAAAATACCAGTCTATTTGTCTTTTCTCTTAAATGATTTGAGGACTGAAATGTCATCCACTGTAATATTGCTCAGCTTACCCAATATTTGTCATGTTTGTCCTATTGTAAGTCATCGTGGACAAGTCCGTGAGTATTCGGAGCAAGAATGGTGGAGCTATTTGAAGTAAACATCCAATATCTTTAAACTGGTGCAGGATAAAGATCATTTGCTCATGCAGGATAAAGATAATTTACTCTTTTGCTTCAAAAGATGTATAACTAAAGAAATAAATAATAGCAAAAGAAAAAAGGCAAATTAAGAAATACAGGGCACAGGCAGGATAAACTCAATAAAACAGGAAGTATTAAAGCTTCGTGATACACAAGAGAGTTTTTCTAGATGGCAAGGGATATAGACCTTGGATTCATGACATTCCTATGTAGACACATTATTTCCATCCTCAAATGAAGAGACAGGATGAAAAAACCCTGGCATGATTCAGGTGATTTCCCGGACAGGTCAGGGACAAGCCTGATGTCTTGGCTCTGAATACATTGCTTTTGCCAGTGGAGCCTGTTGGAAGATAATTCAAGATGATTTTATGTGAATTCTTGCTATTTTCCAGGCACTATGTGACTTTATAGCATACAAGCCTAACAGAAGCATAAAAATGCCCTGCAAAAATGTTATCAGAGATTCACTAAACTCACATCATCTTCTCAGAGTTCTTGCAGAGTATTGCATTAATGCATAGTAACAATAAAAATATAAAAAGACCATGAAAATGACATTATAGCATTATAAGATTAATCCAATTCCAGTCAAATTAGATTATAATAAGAACTGTGTGTGCTGAAGACTATTAATGGGAACCTGTGTTTCAAGAGCTTCATCACCTTTGCACGTGCTCTCCTCCCTGACCCCAATAATAAAAATAGCTTGGTGTTCACGAGAGAGCCCCTCTTCAGAGAACTTCACAAACACCTTCTGGTCTTTTGGGGAAAACATTGGCCTCACTTCTGCATCAGTGGAGAAACCGAGGCTCGGGCTGGACAGCTTTTTCTAGCACAGGGAGGCAGGCAGCCCTCCCTCGGGGTTTCAGGCCCACGTGGTGGGCTCTGGCTCCCTGTGGACGTCTGTCTGTCCATGTGGTTCACTCACGCGGCCGAATGGAAATGAGCATCACAGTCACCTCAAAGACAAAACCCTTTCAAGCACAAGGTTACCATGAAGCAGCTTTCCAGGAAGACAGATCTGGGCTGCCTTGTTCTCCCAGCACAACTGAGTCATTCAGGAGCGCCGTCCTCAGAGCAGCCGGATCATTTTGGTCAGGCCACGCGGTTGCTCTTTGGCGGCGGGGCAGCTGAAAGAGCTGGAGGCAGACAGGCGTGACTCAAGCCATGCTGATGATACACTCATTAGGTCACAACCCACACCAGCATCTTTCTCAGTGCTCAATCACTGCCAGCAGTGTGCTGGGACTTGCTTCCCCATGGCTTGCCTTGGCAGGCAGGACTTGAGACTGCGCAGCGGGAGAAGGGGAAATGATCCCACGTGGTGCCATTTGCTGGGCTGCTCAGTGCTCATACCAAGAAGCAGGCACTTCCCGGGTGTGAGAAATGGATTTGTAAAGGATTCTCAAAACCTGGCTGAAAACTCACACAGTCTTGTACATTTGTATGCAAACACTGAGATAAGATGTGCTGACTTAGGAAGGCCACAGAATAGAGATGACATTGTTAAGAGAGAGATTGAACTAGAAACAAGTTGCATACGATGGCCTTGCAAAAAGACCAGATATTTTAGAGAATTAGAACTGTGAAAGATGCATTGTAGCAAGACCACGTGGGGTAAAAATATTTGTGGATTTGTGTTAGAAGTATTAGCAGCATTGTGTGGCAAAAGCTAATAGGCTAAAAA